ATGTTTGGAGGTGCCAAGTGTAAACTGAGATTACTCATTCATAAATCCAAAGGCTAGGCAGTGCTGTTCAAAACTGCAAGGACGCAAATGCACTTTGGATTCTTGGAAGGATACACTGTTCTAAATCCTTGCTGCAGCAACTTTGCCATAGGGCTGGAACTGTACTTTTTCTTTGCCTCTATCCTTGAATTTCTGTACCATCATGCAGTTCAAACTGCAGACATTATGATCACTTGCACAGTGTACAGGGAGACTGTGTAACCCACTCCTAAAACTTGTAATGTATTCTTACTTTAAAAAATATATATCCCAAATTTATCTTAAATATAAAAATTCTTAATTCCTACCACTGCAGACAATTAAGAGATTACAGTCAATGTGGACAGTTAAAATATGGTATATATTAGTCAGTCTGCATGGTAGAAATAAACAAGTTCTGATTTTTAAAAGGGATTCTTATTAGAATTGGGTGATCTGGAAGAAGCCTGAATCAGTTGCATTAGAGTGGATGAAAACTAATTCCAAAACAGGATGGACGCTTCCTGAAACTTGGCAGGACCAACAATTGAAAGAAACATTTCCAAACTCAGTTTTGGATAGAAAGAATTCAGATGCTCATTCATTGCTGTTTCTCACGTGAAAGCAGACAAATTAACAAAGAATTTTGATGCCAGATGATTGAAAGAAAAAGAATGCGATTTTCACGTCTCCCTTTCTTTGACAAGTTTTCAGCAACATGTCAGCATGTGCTGCTTTAATTTATCTGTTTTGATTTTCTGCATTTTTCCTTTGGAACAACTGATCGGAGAGGCAGAAAGGGGTTAAGTATTTTTAGCAACAGTTTATTAATTCAGAGTATGACACAATTGTGTCACTGCACTGTAAAATTTTGTCTACTATGGTAAAACCCATCTTATTTCAGTGTGGAATGAAGTGCCTGCCTGTTTTCATTTATGATTACTGACATTTAAATAATTACTCAGTTAAGTTCCCAATCTCAGGATCACTTTTCATTGAATACAGATGGCTTTTTTTTCAGTCATATGACTATGTTTTTCTCTCTAGCATTTAATGTTTAAAATAAAATTTTACTCACTTTGGTCCAGAGTACTTAGGGGAGGGTAGCAAAATTCTACTGATCTTTATATCTGCCTGTCCAACTATCTGTCCATCTATTTATCTGTTTTTATGCACAAGGGGCATGGAGCAGTTTGTGTTATCTCAATAGCAGTTCTGCAGCATTGATGGAATATTTGAGTGATGTGCAGCTGCATGTTTATCAGAACTGCTGTTAATGCCAGTCATCAGCTAGCAGTGGTCTGGCAAGCACTGTTAGTCTGATTGTTAGTCTGATTTTTGTATTCTCTATGGAATTGGTTACCCATGCCTTTAATGGCAAAATAGTTCAACTTGTACACACACACACACAAAATATTTCAACCGAAATAAAGAGATAGCTGATATGAATTGGGCTGTAAATAGAATTTGATTGAAGAATACTACTAGCATAATACTGAGTCATCTAAGTCAAAACACGTTCTTCAAAGGATAGAAAAGAGTGTATTAAAGTGAAATGACCAGGATTATCTTCAGTCAATTTTGTTTCCTTTAACTCTGGTGGCTCTGACATGAACTGTGTCTGCAAAAAAAGAAGACAAAGTGATTAATTTCACTTTAGTGGGAGCACCTAGTGCTGAAAAGTGCTTAATTATGGTAGTACCATGGGCCGATTTTTCCCCATTATTGGCTGAACAGGAGGAGCCGGAGCCAGGGTTGGCGAATGTATGTCCTGGTTGTGTTTCAGGCTGAGTACTTACCCTTCACAGTTGAATCACTGGTAAGAGACTTCAGGTCCCTTTTCCCTTTCCCATCCCTTATTAGGAGACTCCTGTTGGGGGCTTTGGGTTAGATAATGTGGGAAATGCTGAGCAGCACTGTCATTCAAATGCCAGACCCTTCTGAAGTGCAGAAAGCACTGAGAGCAAATAACAGGCTTGTGGACTTCTTAAAAAAGAATCCCACTCAGTTCATATGTATGACACAAGTCAGAAAAACTTATTACAGAAGGCCTTTCTACATAGGCTCATTGTTTTCCACCTTCAATAGTATTATTGCAGATGACCCATATCTCTGTTTACTAGAGGGCTGAGGATATTACCTATGCATTATTTAAAAATCACTGTAATACACTGTTTTCTGTTTTAAGCGTTTTTATACAAAGAAGACTGTTGTTGTTGTAGTTTCTTTACGTGGGAGTGTATCTTTCTTTACCTCTAAGAATTGTTGCTCTAGCCTACCTTTAATTAGTCATCTCACTTGAATAGGTTGTACATGCAGATATCCACAAATGTAAGGAGTAGAAATACCTGCATTAGTATTTGGTTGTTGCCACCTGTGTTAAAACAAATTCTGGTATATTGATGCAGTTTCAGCTGTTCTGGAAATTTAATTCTGAAAGTACCACAAATTTCACCTGTATCCTACACTTCTGCAAATGAGGAAATAGTTGTTTTCTCCTCCCAGGGACTTCCAAACAACATATCCAGCAACAGCATAGTGCCATTACAGTAACATTGATGGGATGCAGAACCAGACAAGTACAGCTGCTGTCTGCACTGGAGATTCATGTCTTTAATTAGACTCTTGAAAGCACAGCCAATAAAGGAATACACATGTTAAAAATGGATATTTATTACACTGTAGTTTATACAGTGAGACTAACATCAGATTAAAGCATTAACTATTAAACCACTTCCAGCAGACCAAATTTTAAGCATTTATAATGCCCATCTTCTGAAAGACATTTTTACAGAAAACCTGCAGCCCACTTGCAGCCAACATAAAATTCTACAAATTCTAAGAAAATTATTACATTTGTTGTTTCCTGAGGGCAATGTCTTGACAAGCTAGCTTTTCAGAGCTGCCACTTCCAAAGCCATGCTTTTAGATAGGTTGCAGTATAAATCTAATGGAACAGTGATATCATTTGCAGTAACTTTATTGAATTGAACATGATCTGGTTGAGAGTTAAACGATCATTCAAATAGATCATAATCACCATCCATTAGGTTCCTTTAGTAAGCACACACATGGCCTTCCTCGTGTAGTATGAGATTTCATACGCCTTCCAGATTCGAAGGCAGAAGTTAAAGTTTTAATATTTAAACTGGAGTTTAAGAAGCGGAACCATAAATGATCAGAAAAAAATTAGGGTGCCATATTAAGTTCCAGATAAGCTTCTAATTCTAATGAATGTGGCACGTTTAAGTAGACCTAGGGTTTTTGCAAAAGTCTCTGAAACATGTCTGAAAATTTACTTCAGTACTACATTATAATTTCTTTTAGTATACTGATCTGAATTCATATGAATAATGCTAAATGCCATTCTATCAGGAGGAGGTTGATTAAGGAATTTTGCATTTATTAGTTTTTCATGTATAAAATATACTTTTGTAAGCAACCTGGGCAAATTTACGAGAATGACAGTATCTGGCAATAGGACTAGGGGGAATGGCCTCAAGTTGTGCCAGGCAAGATTCAGGTTGGATTTTAGGAAATACTTCTCTGAAAGAGTGGTCAGGTACTGAACAGGCTGCCCAGGAAGGTGGTGGAGTGACTGACCCTGGAGGTGTTCAAGAAACGTTTAGACATTGTACTGAGGGACATATTAATGGGAAATAGGTGGATGGTTCAACTGGATGATCTTGAAAGTCTTTTCTAACCTTGGTGATTCTATGATTCTATCCTAGTATATTAGCATATGTTAGTGCATGACTCCAGATTTTTCTTGAACACTATAACAACTCTAGATGATGTAAATAGACGTGCACATACTTCAGTTGAGATACGCAAGCATAACTTTCAGTCTGACTACTTAGCAGCTGAAAGATTAGCATGAAAAATAAAGAAATCAATCATCCGCTCTTCCACATTCATGTAAAGAAAACAAACGGCAGTCTCTTCAAGTCAGTGGGTGGTCTGCCACCCTTCTCAAAAAGACTGCTATTTTTGATGTGTTTTGTCAGAAAACCTAATATTTTAGGTGACTGTGCTTCCAGTGGGAATCTCAATTTGAAACTATATGCGAGCCAAATTGCATTTCCTACTAAGCGGAAGGAATAATACAAACCAGAGAGGGAGACAGAGAAAGAAATGATGATTTTACCAAGCTCTAAAGCAAGAAGCACTGCATGTCTCAAAAAAGTAAAACGTCTTGTCCCAATACTGTTTTGCATTATAAATCAAATAACTTACTTTGAAAGCTATTATCCAATTTCAGTCCTTGATTGTATGCAGCTTGCTGACATTTTTCCTCTGCAGCTGAAAACAGATTTAAGTTAGTCAAAGACATGAAAGGCATATTTCAGAAATGCCTAGCAAGAGTAGAATTAGGTATTTCAAAATACCATGGGCAGGCAGAGTCTGAAGTCCCATTGATTTCTAGAGAGAGGTGGAAGAAGCAGTGGTCTGCTCAAAAGTACCTTGAAGGCGGGGAGACCAATATCCCTCCAGTAGTAAGGACCCCTTAACCCAAAGATGCTGTAAAGCATCCCTTAGCTTACATCTTGTCTCACCCACTGACAGTAGTAGGAGCTCAGGAAATTTTTGCGAATACTCTCTTTAGCTCACTAAGGGCTTTAAGGTGTTTAAATTAGAGCAGCAGAACAGCAGGTGTGGCTGTTTGCAGATAAATTGTGTGTGGGTGAGGTACATAAGCAGCCTGGAGAATCCAAATCTTTGCTTCTGTGTCATTAGGCACAATTGAAAAGTACTTTCAAAGAAAAAAATATTGTTGACATGACACTTGTAAAACACTTATGTAAAGGTGGTAGTACTTCTATGAGTGGCATTAAAGAAAATGCTACAATGTTTTGTACAGTGACTGTACCAAGCGGGTTTGTTCCCAAACCTTCTTCCTCTGCTCTGTTTTCAATTGAATCTGTGAAGCAAAACAAGAGTGTGACATCTGTTACCAATGGGACATTAACTGTATTTTTCAGGACTACAAGTAGAGGGCCTCTTCAGAAGGTCAGCCAGCATCCAGACTATCAAAGATGTTCAAAAGCTCTACAACCAGGGTAAGCTGCCATTATAAAAATTGCCACAGGCTAATAACAGTGTGAGGGCTTCCTTGATCTTGTCTCAAATGATGAAGCAGAGATGTTAGGTATTTTTTTAATAATTAGTTAATCATAAAGTCATTCTAAAATATGATAAGAACATTAGTACAGAAGCTCAAAGGATAGCTTAAAGCTTACTGAATAGTGAGCCATTAATTGATGTCAGAGTTTTCAAAAACTGTAGCAACTGAAGAATGTTGAGGTTTGAATAAAAAATGGTCTGGTTTCTCAGACACTCGTATTACCTTTGTGCAGTTTGAGTCACTGCAGTTAGTTAAAAATGCCAAGTATAGTGCCTTCATGTCATTTTGCCTCTGGTATTCTTCCATGGCTTTGGCAAAGGAGTACAATTTTACATAATAATTTATGAAATGTAATGAAAGTCAGTGACTCCCCCATGAAGTAATTTTATGGTATGCGTTTATGGAGAGGATCACTTACAGCAAGATTAATAAAGCCTTGAAAAATATGAAGAGAAAATTGTAGTAGTTACCAGCTTCTGGAAAGCCAGCGAGTTATCTAATCGTGGTGTGAAACAGTTCTTGTACAGTAGTTCAGAGAATAAGTAAAACATCTGATTGAACACACTTCTTTTTTTCCTTCTTTTAGGCAAGCCTGTAAATTTTGATGACTATCATGATATCCATGTTCCTGCTGTTATCCTAAAGACCTTCCTTAGGGAACTTCCTCAGCCATTGCTAACCTTCGAATGTTATGATCCTATTGTTGGAATTACCAGTGAGTATTAATCCAGTTTTAGGAAAATTCATACAGCTAATTAAACTGAACTTTGCTAATTCATTGCTGATTGCTAACCATGGTTCAGTTGTGGGTATGTAACTGTATTAATGCCTTCACTACAGCTATTAATGGACAGTGACATAATCTGTACTATTACAAGGTGGGATTCCACCCAGAAGAGGTGGATAAAGTATCTTATCAAGGAGTTTGAAACATGGGAGTCTCTGCTGTTTTGCTGAGTATCATGAGGGCTCAGGAAACTGACATGTAGCTCCATACCAGATAGACAAGGCACCTAGCACTTTCACTGTTCTTTTTTGGGGGTTGGCTTAACCTTCAGTACAAAAGCATGAACATATTTTTAGAGAATGTTTTTGTAGATGTTACAGACTCTATTATAACTATGGTAAATAAGTTGTTATCTTCTCTATCATTCTTCTTATATTCCCTGTATTTACTCTGCCTGATACCCTGATTCCAATGTTCACTCTCTGTTTTTTCACTGTGTGCATTCAGGGGGATGTAAGAACAAATAGCCCTGTGACTAGCAGAGCTAATGAAGCCTGAATTCCCATGGATTTCCATCTCAAACATGAGCTTTCTTTTGTTTTCTCTAATGCCTAGAGAGAACTGATATCACACTGCAGCATTTTTTTATGTCTGGGGCATCTTTATGATCTGCCCTCCTTACTCAGTTACCTAATTCCATAAAATATATAGGCATATAAAAGACATTGATCTACTCCTCTCTCAACTCTGATCTAATTGTCCCAACAGTTTAAATGTTGGCAGCTACCAGCAGATGGATGACAGCACAGTACCAGAAGTCTGTCCTCTATAGAAAAGCAATTTGAAAAATCAGTCCTTTGGACACTGTTCTCCTCTCTTTTTTCAATCAATTCTCCCTGCTGGAAGTATGGGGAGAATAAAAATCTGCTTTTGCACACACACCAAAAAAGTTCCAGTTTTGAAATTATTTTTCTTACAGCTTTTGTCAGGCAGAGCTGTGAACCCTGCAGTAAATTAGAAAGATCTTTTTTCCAAAGCACAAGTTGCTCAAACAAAAAATGTCCAAAATTTTTATGAATATTATTACCATTTTGGATATTACTTTGTCATATAGAACTTACAAATGAAAAAACAAACAAACAAACAAAAACCCAAAACATATGCAGTGATTAGAAGTTTGGTAACTATCTGCAAGAATTAAAAGATAACCTAATGCTTTCTGTACCTGGGACCCCCAACCTCTTTTATCAAATATAGCTGAAATTATCCTGAAGGCTAAAGAGTTATGGCAGGCAAAACCAGATGCATTCACACCTATGAACTGTTTTGTCAGAAGTTATTAAAATCAAAGAATCATCTATCTACAGAGTAACTATCTCAGCATGTTAAAAAAAAAAGTCTCTTCACAGGTTGGTTGTAGAAATTGAGGGAATAAGGATAGTCATTCAGAACAGTGTAAAGAATATTTGAAGTTTGGAAAAGGGTTGCGGGAATGATAATTTTTACTGAATTAATCTTCTGTCTTTCTGTACAGTAAGTTACTTTTTGCTAGAGCTAATTGAGAAAAGAACCTGAGAGTGATGCATAGTCCTAGTAATGTTGAGGTTTTTTGCATAGGAAAACATCTATGAAGATTTCAGTCCATGTTATTTTTGTTTATCAGTGTTTTAAATGTTGGCAAAGTATGTTTTTGAAAGATGCAGTTAAAGAGAATTTCTCCTTGGGCTTTTCTGTTACACAGTGTGATGTCCACTATTATTTCTTGATACTATGGTGACATCCTACTTTTTAAAGATGCTAAGCCTGAGAGCCATTCTGGACTGCAGCAAAGTTATATTCTCTGTGAATACAGTGCAGAAGGGAGCTCTGAAGAGGTGTGAATGCAGACAGCTGTCTTGGAATGATTTGAAAATTCTCATTCTGGCTTCTGGAAAGCACTGTGTGATGTATCTGTTATATCTCTTAACCCACAAACCCAGAAATGCACTATCACTGCTTTACAATACTTTGAAATTATAGTGAAGCTTTTCCCTTTAGTGTCTCACCTGAAACATTTTTACAAGAGTTATTGACAGGAGCTGGGAAATAAATTAGCTGAGTGACTGACCAAAAAAGAAAAAAAAAAAAAAAAAAAAAAGAAAAAGGAATTGAAACTTTCAGCTTGTAGTTTTCAAAGAACTTCTTATAGGGCTGTGAATGCTGCTAACGAGTTCCTTTGGCCAGTATTGCTACACTTTCTGAATTATTTACCCTGCAGAAGGCTGACAAAAAAATTCTTGTGACTCACATTTTTTGTCTTACTGGAACTGATAGGTCTGCAGTAGTAAAAATATCAACACAGCTCACCAGGGCATAGCTGCATGTATTTAAATCAGAGCTTAAGGGAACTTCTAACATGCTGGAATTTTGTGCCTGCAGACATACTTATATGAATCTCTAGCTACGTCAGGGAGAGAGAGAAAAATGGAACAAATGGAGAAAAAACATTAGCACAGATGAACTGGTTAGGTCAAATATGACTGTAATCATGAGTACTTTTTCCAACTAGGTGTTAAACTTCCAGTACTAAATTTATTAAAATATTCCAGCAACAACAATAATAATAATAATAATAAAATCATTTGGAACAATTCAATTGGTTCAAACAAAACAATTGGTTCAAAATGTATTCCAGTGCTAGCATAATTCTTAATCAGACTGTCTCACTGAGTCTGGGGTCTGGTTCCAGTTCTGCCCATCTGTAGAAATGTGTTAATGAATCTGATTTGGCTCATCTCTAGAAAATTCTTACCCAAATGTCCATCTCATAAATCTTTGTCCAAGAAAGAAGTTTCCTGCAGAATCACAGAAGTGTGTTTGGAGTTAGTAGAGTGCCAAAAGAGAGCTTTGCAGGACCGAGTCTCAGCAAGAATAAAATCAAGGTATAAAAAATAGACATCTGGATACAATGCATGAAGAGATAATGGGATTCAAAACAAGACTTTGGCTACTTCACTGAGTGGGGAAAATATTCTGGAAGTTAGTCTTAGCCATATATATGAAAATACTAAATATGATAGGCTTATCCTAAGAGGCAGCCCCATCTACTGTCATGGGGATAGACATTGATAAAGGTAATTTTTGTGGTCAGTTCTACAGACAAATAGCTGAAGTAATTCCAGGTGATATAAATATGGTAGTATATTTCTTGATAATATGTTGATGCTCCTGGGTTAAATTAAGACTGACTTTGATATTGCAGGTGTGGAGAGCTGTTTACGAGTAACCAGATGTAAACAAATCATTCAAGGACTTCCTGAACACAATTATGTTGTTCTGAAATATCTGATATGCTTTCTCCATATGGTGAGTATATAGGAAAAAATTCCAAAAGTAGAGCCAATCATTTCTTTAAATCTGATAAAGCTTTGTGTTAAACAGTGGTCTCAGCCATACAGTCACCATGAAATTCTTTACATGTAAGAAATAGTACTATGTGAATTTAAATTTAAATTCACTGGAATATTTAAAAGTCCACTCTCCTCCATTACCCATTCACTAATGTATGTCTTAGCCTTTTTCCTATTTTGGAGTGAAAAATATTAAAAATAGTAGTTGGGTAACTTTTAGTGCTGCAGAATAAGTGAGTTTTTCCTCAAAGTGTAAATTTTGGCACCTAAAACTTTAAGTATATATTTGCGTCACTTTAGAAAATTATAAAAAAAATATTGGTGACCTTTAGGAAAGTAATCAGCAAAATGTTTTATATTTTACTTTAAAAACAACATTTTCCTGTTTAAAATAGCCTTTAATTCTGTAACTTAGTACATTCTCAAACAAAAATGTTTAATCATGCCCTTTTGCAACATTTTGGTGTTCAGAATAAGTGAATCATTTTTTAATTGTTATTCATATTCCAACAAGTTTGGGACTTTGGGAAACCTCAGTTATAGTCATTCTGCAGTCATCCTGTTCTTGCCAGTTTATGTACAGGAAAAGACAGTAATAGGAGAGTAATTTTTCCTCCCTCCCACCTTATTCAATGTATTACCATTTTCAAATTGCATTTTTCAAGCCCAGGTGCCTAAAATTGAGAATTCTGGTTTAGCTGATGTCTAAATAAAAGGATCTAACCTTCAGAAGACTTAAGAGTCCATCAAAGTAATGACAGATTTGGAATGACATTTATTTTCCTCCTCATTAATTGCTACTGGGTTACAACGTTTGCCATGTTCTAGCCATCAGCATATTTCAAAAAGAAGGATATTTAATCCTTTTTTTGTACTGAAACATTACAGAAAACACGTTGATATGACCCTTGCACTGACAGCACTTGCAAGGTTGTTGTAATACTCACATGTTCATTTACTGTTCCTTTGCTGAACTCCAATGCTGTTAAGAAAATCCTCATGTCATTTGCTATTATTTTAGCAACTCATATATCTCCTCAGTATTATAAATTGTGTAAGTGACTTTGTTCCAGTAATAGATGGACCATCTCGATGCACTTCTTAAGAGCTGAACACTTGAGATGTTAATGAGGTGTGCAAAAGTACGACATAGTGTTTTCTGTAATTGGGCAACAGAACATAGCATTATTTTTGAGTGTTCCTTGTTATATAAGGCAACATGTCAAATTGATGTTAGCGCTCAGCTCTGCAATTTTTGCTGATCCATAGCTTTTCATCTTTAATGTCTTGGGGAATATTTGCATGTGGAAAGGTCAAGGGAATGTGAAGCAATCTTGAAGCTAGAAATTTCTATTCACTGCAGATTAGTGCACTGCACAAGCTGACACAATTCAAATGTAGAGTGCTCTACCACTGATCCTAGTTCTTACCTGCAAGCATCAACCTTCTTACATACATGAACCAATTTAATTCTTCCATGAGCTCAACCTTGAGTAGTGCTAGAGATACTTGTGGTAATTTCATGAAGTGGAATGAATTGTAATCACTGGATGTAGGTTTTGAATACCGTAAGTTTGATACAGGCTCGTGGAAAAGGAAAAAAAACCAGCAGTATTTTCTCTGCAGTCTCAGCTCCCCAACTAAATAAAATGACTACTTCTATTCCAAGGACACTACAGCAAGAGAGTGCAACTTCTACAGAAGTAAAAGACTTGCATTTCAAAAATACGTCCATACTTCTTAACCTTAGACTGGCAGTTATTTTGCCAGTAATGAGCCCAGCATGCTGTGAAAGGTCTGTGCTGTCTCCACTTTGCAGTGCGTGTGGCTGCTAGAGAGAGATCTGAAAGTTCAACGTGGACTGAGGTTTTGTAGTCAACATCAGACAACTAGAAGTGAGGAGCAGAACATCTCATATATTCCCCATTCTTTACTATATCTTTCTGTCCTTTTATTCATGCCTGATGAAGAAGAAAGATGGCTGACTTGCCTCAAGCAACTATTGCAAAACTCTGCCAAATTCAAAATGTCAGTATGGAGCAAATAGAAAAAAATAAACAAGTTTTTGTGGCATGTGAGCTACATTTCAGATCTGAAACTGAAGCACCATAGTTAAAGCCAAGTACAAGCTGAGGGGGAAAAAAAAATTGAATTGCTTTGAATTAGTGTTTTATCACAATCACTTGTCCAATTCAAAAGTGTAATTAGCACCAGTAAAGCTTGGAGATGGCTGGGGGATGGGTCACGTTGGGAAAGATTAGATGACTGAGCGTGATGAAGCAGACATGAGCAGTTGGCACCTCTACAAGGTTAGCAAAGAGCAGGGATAGAAACTTGCATTTCCAGTAAGTTTGGGGGATATTTAATAGCTAGTAGTTTTCTTCTGAAAATGTTTTTTGGCGTTCTGTTGATGATTGTGAGTTACAAAGTTCAAAGGTGATGATTTCCTTATAATTTTATAATGTACAGCAATTGGATGTTTCTACCTTCTACCATTTCACTATTTAATTTCATTATGTAAAATAGTGGCAGACTAGTGTCACTCCTGCAGTGTCCATGAGGGTGCTGGAATGAATGTATGTGGAATCAAAATACTGATACAGTTTTGCTGCAGGAAGCTGACTCTTGCATGATGGACATGTGTTTTTACATTTGTTGATGTGGCACTAAATCTTCAGTGTTTACTTCCAATTATTAGCATAGGAATTTGCAGATTTTGTCTGAAGGCTAGGAAAAAGATTTCTAGATGACTTATTTTCAATATAATCTGTCACTACTTGATGATTTTTCTATACATGTCCTAGTTAAAGAGAACAACGAGCTGGAACTGTGTAGGTCTTTCTTGTCACACTTTTCTGTGATGTTCAGATGTCTTCAGAGACAAAATGTAGGTCCTTAGAGAATTGTCTTTTATTGGCTTATGAAATTGATAGAGCAAGCGTATTCTTACTTGAAATGGTGACAGTAATTTTGTGATGGAATCAAAGAAAGAGTCTCGGGGGTTAGTCCAAATGTTAAATACGTCATTTGTATTTCTTAGAGCGCGTCTCTGGGCTATGAGCTACTTAGAAGAGACCAAAAAGTGCTGATCTTGGATGGTCTTGTGTGGGAAGAAAATACTAATTGCTCATGAAAGTGCTGTCGATGGAATGGACAGCATTTCTCTTTGAGAAGAAAAGGCTGAGGGGAGGCCTCATGGTGGCCTACAGCTTTCTCAGGAGAGGGGGAGTGAAGGGACAGGCGCTGATATCTTAGAATCATCAAATCATGGAATTGCTTAGGTTGGAAGGGACCTTAGAGATCTTCTAGTTCCAGCCATCATCATGGACAGGGCCCCATCCAGTCTGACCTTGAACGCCTGTGTGGATGGAGCATCTATAATTTCTCTGGGCAACCTGTTGCAATGCCTCAACAGCCTCTGAGTAAAGAATTTCTTCCCAACATCTAATCTAATTTTCCTCTCTTTTAGTGTAAAACCATTCCTGCTCATCCTATAATTATTGGACCTTGTGAAAATTTGGTCTCTCTCCTGCTTATAAGCTCCCTTCAAATATTTGAGGATTGCAATGAAGACTCCCTGGAGCCTTCTCCAAGCTGAACAAACCCAGCTCTCTGAACCTTTTTTCATAGGAGAGGTGCTCCAGACCTTCTCTCTGTTGACAGTGACAGGACTTGAGGAAAAGGCATGGAGATGCAACAGGAGATGGTCAGTTTGGAAATTAAGAAGTTGTTCATCAGGGGGTGATCATCGATGGGACAGGCTCCTCAGGGCAGTGGTCATGGCCTCAGTCTGCCAGAATTCAAGAAGCATTTGGATTGTGTTCTCAGGATAGGGTTTGAATTTTGAGTGGTCCTACTTGCAGCTAGGAGCTGCAACAGGTGTGGCTCCTTCCACCTTTTTCTGCCCTCCAGTACTATACAAATTGCTTTTGTGCTATCAAAGGTACTTACCTTATCTACACCTAAAGTACCTCCCCTAGGATATGCAGCAAATGTGTTTGTTTTCAGGCTATAAAAAACACCAATGAGAGGGCCTGCAGCAGAGCTCTCACATTATTTTTGAGACTTCCTAATGAAAGAAATGCCAAAAATAATTTGTTCTAAGTCATAGAGGCTGCTTGGCACAATATTACCCTCAATGGATGTAGCCAGGATGGGTCTCTTGACCTTAGAGCCAAAACATCAGTTCTTAACCTTATCACATTTAGCTCTATTCAGAGGCCATTTTCATCAGGATTACACTTATGTTTGTGTCTCCTTGTTAACAGAATAATTATCATTGTCCTAATTATTTTTTCTTATCAGTTACTTTGGTAGCAGCTTAGTGTTTGCTACACTGCTGTAGTACAGTGAACTCTTCTTTAAGCTGATCTCATCTGAAGCATATTAAGTGAATGAAAGTAGCTTGCTGTTGTTTTTTTGTTTTTGTTTTTTCTGTATAGTTAAATAGTGTGTTGAGAGCATTATGTGAAGGTCAGCAAGCTCTACGCAGTTCATACTCAAGAGAGAATGATGTGGGTTTTGCATAAGGTCATGGAGCAGGCATCGCTGTTTAATCTGATGACCCTTATTCTCACGTTGTGAACTCAATCCTCTGAAAAGGTGATTATGGCAACAGTATACCCTTATTAAAACTCCCTTCCTTTTTCCAGCACTGCTTCATGACCTTAGAATCAATTGAATTCTTTAATATTTGTAGCACTCTTGTATCTCTAACAGCCTAGGTGGTTAAGGCAAAGATTGGGATGAAAAATAATACCTCTTACTGCAACAAAAAAATGTGGTTAGGAAGAAAATGCTAACCTTTTGGCACATATGTGTTTCTTTATGTATCCAAAGGAAAAAAAAAAGCATCCTGCATGCATGTCTAAAGGACTTTATATCCCTCCATGGCTTACCAAGCAGGCTTCTTGCTAGGTAGAACACTGAAGAGATGGAGACAGAGGAAAATGAAAACTCTGTTACTGAGTAGAGGGAAGTTTATGTATCTGCTCACATGATTGTAGCATTCCTTAGATTTTTTCTCTTGTGCCATCTGACTTTCCATAATACTACTACGCTGTCTTTTCAGGAGACCCTATGGAAAAACCAGAAATAGAGAGATGCTGAGAAGCACAGATTTTTGCTTTCCTGTTCCACTTGAAACTTTAGTACACAGGAATATTTAACTGATACCTCCCCATTCTTTTCCAGGTTGACAACTTCAGAGCAACCTGTACATCATAGTTTAGAGCATATTGCAGTTACAGACCATATTCTTATTGCCAATGAAAAACTGTAGCAATCAGCCTGGGAAGAAGTGGCTGAACTAATAATGTCATAGAATCATGGAGTAACTTAGACCTTAGAAGAGAGGACCTTAAAGATCATCTAGTTGCGACTCTCCTGCTGTGGGCCACTTTGCCAGCCACTAGATCAGGCTACCAGAATCCCATCCAATCTGGCCTTGAATACCTTCAGAGATGGGGCATCCACAGCCTGTCTGGGCAACCAGTTCAAGCACCTCACCACCAACACTCTGAGTAAAAAAATTCTTCCTAACATCTAACCTAATTTCCCCTCTTTTAGTTTTAAGTAATGCCCCTTTGTCCTACTACTATCAGATCCTGGAAAAAGTTGTTTCTCTTACTTCTTGTAATCTCCCTTTAAGTACTGGAAGGCCACAATAAGGTCTCACTGGAATCTTCTCTTCTCCAAGTTAAAAAAGTCCAATTCCCTCAGCCCCTCTTCATAGGAAGGGTGCTCCAGCCTTTTGTTCATCTTCATGGCTTTCCTCTGTGTCTGCTCCAACAGCTCTGCATCCTTCCTGTACTGGGAACAGCAGACTTGGACACAGTACTCCAGATGTGGCTTCACAAGGGCAGAGGGAGGGTGACAATCACCTTCCTCTCCCTGTTGTTCACCCCTCTTTTGATGCAGCCCAGGATACTGCTGGCCTTCTGGGCTGCAAGCACACACTGCTGGCTCCTGTCCAGCTTCTCATCCATCAGGACCCCCAAGCCTTCTCTGCAGGGCTGCTCGCTAGGAGTCCTTCCCCCATTCTGTACTTACATCTGGGATTGCCTTGATCCAAATGCAACACCTTGCAATTGGCCTTGTTAAATCTCATTAGATTCTTGTGTGCCTGCTTTTTGAACACATCCAGCTCCCTTTGGATGATATCCCTCCCTTCCATTGTGTCATTGCGTAAACTGTACTACTCAGCTTGGTGCCATCAGCAAATTTGTTGATACACTCAATCCCACTGTCTATCTCATTGATAAAGATGTTGAAGAGCACTGGTCCCAAGACAGATCCCTGAAGGACACCACTCATGACTGGCCTCTACCTATAGAGTATAGGTAAAGAGCCATTGACAACAACCTTCTGGCTATGACCACTCAACCAATTCTTTATCCACCTAATAATCAAGGAGGATGTCAGAAGGAATGTCAGGAAGAATGAAAGCACATTCAAATTGCTGGCCCTTTGCAGTAACAGGGAACTTATCACCCAGACCGTATTGGGCTTTAGATACCAGCCACGCAGTGCAGGAGAGGCAAAACATGCACAAATGCCCTGACAACTTTATACAGAAAAGAAAATTATTTCTGGTACCTACTTTAGGGTTCACGTCCACAGATATTTTAGGACACATCACCTAAATAGAGAGCAGAGTTCAGTGCTGCATGTCTTCTCTACAATCCATTTTCACCTACATCAGGGGAACAAGGGGGATGTGGAGTTACTTAGAAATGAAAGTCATGCGTAAGTGGGAAAAAAAAATATTTCTAAATCCTTTCAAATAGTTTCAAAATTCTGGAGTTTTATTCTGTAAAGGACATAGCACAAACAGATGAAGTAGCTGTTTCTGCCATCCTTCCCTGCCCTCCAGCAGAAATAACAACAAATTCCATATAGAAAACCCAACACAATTTATTTTCCTAGCATAAGGAATCAGTGCAGGCTTTTTGCTTGACTTACTGACATCTTTTCTTGTACTTGAGGGGTACAGACCCTGGTGGCCCCATTACCTCTCAGCTGCATGGTCAGTCCTCAGGCAGTTAGGAAGCCAGTGATGTACCTGTCATTAGTATCTGTGTTCATCATTGGCTCATTCTTGATATGCTAGGGTCTTTTGTCTCTCAGTCACAGGGTGTGTGCCTACAGTGTACTAGTTTATGTTTTTATCTTTCAGGTTTCACAGGAGAGCATATATAACAGAATGACAGCATCCAGCCTGGCCTGTGTCTTTGGCTTGAATTTGATCTGGCCATCTAAAGGAACAGCTTCTCTGAGTGCTCTGGTGCCTCTGAATCTCTTCACTGAACTACTAATAGATTTCTACATGAATATATTCAACTCCCGAACAGTGCCTGGTGAGATCTTACCTTAATGCTCCCAGAAAGGGAAGTGGAGTTTGGCTGTCTGAAGGAAAGGTCTGAGCATCTCAACCGCCAGAGCAGTTCTTGCAAAAGACATTTTCAATTCTATGCCTTTCCAAGTACCAAAGATAGTGAGGGAAGTTCTCTATTGCATATATTCTCCTCTCATAAGGGAACCATGTACAGGTTAAATATGATAGGTTAAAGTGAAACCCCTTATTCAACTTCAGCAGTTCTGATACATTTTAAAAAAAACAACAACTGTGACTGTAGGTGATGCTGTTATTTGTGTAAAGATCTGAACACCTCACTATATGACATTATTTACTGGGACCATGCGGAACTAAGTTCTGGACCACTCCTGTCTGTACAGTTTTCTATTATTAATATTATTATTTGAATACAAGTCTGTTAGAGATTTCTGTAATAAGTTAATAAAGATGGAATTGATTTTTAAGATACCAAAATTTCTAGAACTACTTTTCCCTATATTTAAAAGTGTCTTGTTTTATGCAGGAGCACTCCTGATGTTTGGGCTGCATGCTTCTGCAGTTTAAGTTAATAGAAATTTGTTCTTCACATTGATTTCTCTACAAAGCAATAACAACAGCAACTTGGGTAACATACCTAATGCCACTTGAATGCCTTTAAAGTCTGTTCTTAGTCTCAATGTGAATAATTAGCTAACAGAAAGGCAGTGTTTCCTTTCTAACTGTGCCATTAATATTGCTTGTATTTGATGAACTCTAAAACACTACTCTTTCATTGTTAATTAGTGTAATGAAGTTATCATTATATTTGCCTGCAAAACAAAAGCAAATTAACCAATGGTATGAAAAAGGCAAACAGTATTTTCCCTAAAGTTCAGATCTTCCTACTTCTGTATAGAAGTACAGAATTAGTGGGACTTCAATAAAACTAATAATCTCTGGAGAACGATTTAGCCATCCCCTGCTCTGCAAACACAAAACCTGTCTGTATCCTGAAGGTTCTAGTTGCTAGCTGAGGGCTTGGCCATCCTCTCAACAGTTATGAGTTGCCTCCCTATGTAGCAGATGCAACAAGACCTTATTGTGCTGGGTGAAGATTATTTGTTCTTGTCAGAACAATTTAGGAAAATTACCAAGCATCCAGAAGGCTGTGGCATGCTGGATCTGCCAGGCCTTCTTTTGTTCAGTGGGTGTCATCTATAGCATTAGACAATTATTAAAAATAGAAAAATACAGAGGCTTTGGAGCAAGACAAATTAGGGTCAAATTTCACATCACAGTTGTATATTTTCCCATGTCCTCAAGTGCTCTTAAAGGCAATTTTTTTGGGCTTTTTTATATCTGTGAGTAATAACCATGCATGACTCTACTTAAATCTAAAATACTGCACCATACAAGAATAATTAACATGTATTCATGTTTGTTGCATTTTAGCCAGAAATACTGCAAAGGACAGAACTGTCTTGAGTTTTTTATCACAACTAATCTTGGTTTTATACCAGAGTTATTAGTGACAGCATCATAGCTTGTATTATGGAAAACAGACAGTTCTGCTTGGTGCTGTACAGTGGCTTGGCAGCACAGCTCTGTGAACAAGCAGTGTGTTCTTATCAAGGAGGAATTTGGCCTTGAGCCAGCGTCTGAGGTCAAGAATCAACAAAACTTCAGCATTTTGCCACTCTCTGACCTTGGTAAAAAATACATGTATGCAACACACAGTTTTTCTGTCTGTAAAAGGAGGTAAAACTTGGCATTAGAAAAGTGCTTTGGGATGAAATGCTGATGAGCACTATAAAATGGTTATTTTCCATTTCCCATGTTCTCTTCCAAAATTCCAGCAATATCAAATGTCATTTTGAATGTAGTAGTCTTCATGTTATACTGCATTACATGAATGTGTGTACTGGATAGTTCTCACATACCCTGTGGTATGAAATCCTGAGGTCCTGGAAGCCAGCTTTGCTTGGTGGGAAAGATGGGTGTACCTCATAGACATAATTCTCCAATTTACCTTGGGTAGGGAAAAAGCAGAGACTGCGAGCAGTGAACATCTCTTCAGAAAATCTGCCTGCCTGCAGACACACTAAATGATAGAACCTGAGTCACCCCTGGCTATTGGCCACAAACGCCAAACTGTCAGTCTTTCTTTGGGCAGTTCGTAAAACACCATTTCCTAGCGATTTCTAGTTCCTCTCATTTACCAAACAAATAGCAAAACAGTGATTTCTCCTTTTAAGGTCCCTTCTTTCTTTAAAGAACGGATAACATCTGTTATCCCTTGGTGTAGATAACTTGATCCTGCTCAGGAAAAATAGAGGCTGTAGCACTGGTGGAGCAAAGTAGAGCCAGGGGACTGGGTGCCCCTGATCCCCATCACCTTCTTGCCTCTCTGGCAGGCAGCAGTGAGAAGCAACGAGTATGGCAGTGGCTTCCACCCTGCCAGCTTGTCCATCCAGAGGAGGAACTTTTCCAAATCAAGTACCAAACCCTCCCAGTGGAGCCCCAACTCCATCCCTCCGAGCCCAAAGGAAACAGCAATATCCTACATCTGCTGCAGAAGCCTCCAGTCTCTGTCCTGAGAGCCAGATATAACTACAACATTAAATCAGCTCTCATGAATTATTCAGCAGGATTTGGAGTGAAATTCATGTTAGAGAAATATATGTTTCAAATTTCCTGACTCTAAGAGGAGTCCTGGAGGTGTCCCCTGCAGTTACTTTGATAACAGTTTCTCTTTACAAATGATAATTGCACGATTCGAGGTTTTGTACTGTGTGGCCTTCTGAACTCTTCTCTCATATCAAAGAACAATTTTCAGATCATTTCCATAGCAAAAAGGAAGTGATTATGGAGATAATCTGTTGGAACCACACATGCTGGATTTCAGCTTAAAACAATAAAATGCAGTCATGGAATGAGAAATCAAGTGTTACCTAGCTGACAATATACAGAAAATAAATTGCCGAAGCATTTTAGTTTACTGAGCTGTTAGGAGCTGAAAATTGGTCCCAAGATTAGTCTGATTATCACGGTGCCTGTAGCAATGAGCACTGAAGGGGGAGGGTGTACTTTTCTATCCTGGATCTATAAAGAAGTGTAGCAAGATTGAACAACATGTCATTAACCAAAGGTGTCCTTAGGTTCTTACAAAAAACTTCTGTACATAAATATCCCTTACATGTGTGCAAATGATCTGCAAGTGCACGCTGAACTCTGCGAGCATCAGAGAACTTCTCAGAGCCTTGCAACCTTGAACATACTCATCCAGTCATGATGATATTGATAATAGACAAGCCCAATATTTAATATCAAATATCAAAAGCCCATGTTAATATCAAATCTGTGCTTAATTAAGGGAGCCAGTTGAACTTACAGTGGGATTGAAGGTGTAATCATCCCCCTTCATTGCCTAAATGGTTTGTCTTCATTACCCTGGCAGATGTGTCACTTTTGAAATGGCAAGAGGGGTGCTGGAGGGAGGAATCAGAATTACCTGTGATTTCTTAAATCAGAAGCTCATGTTCAGTGGAAGATCTACAGGAAGCTCATATTCCTGTCCTTACTCTATTCATTTCCAAATATTCTTACCCACAAAACAGAAGTTTGAAGCCAATGCATCTGGCTCTATGTAGGCACATCCCCATTGAAGATATGTGAGAGTCACATGTGTCCAATTAAATGTGTGGCTGGCATACGAAAGTTGGCATTTTGCCTTTCCCACTGGAGTAATATTCACTGTCACCATCAGAGGGGTTTGATTTCTGTCTTTATCTGTGCACACACAGGAAAACTCCTTCAGTTTATTGCACCTAATTTATCAAAACATTCCAATGTCTTTCAGCATCATCTAAGAACAGTGGGGGATCTAAAACTGTGGGGTGCCACAAATGTTTCCTTCTTGCTCTCAAACTGGAAAGCCTGTGAAAGCACTCCACTAACCAAGGGGATTTCTTAGGTCTTTGGTGGCTTTAGCAAGGAATTGTCCTGGAGACAAGGAACTAAACTTCCAAATACAACCAGAGAATATAACTTTTTCCACAATGGTCATGTTGGCATTTCCCAGAAGTGTCACATTGTGGAAAGGGTCATGGTTTACCTCTCAGAGGTGGAGATGCACAAACCCATGGTGGAAATGGCACGTAAGTTCTCCTACCTCCTACTCCTAACGGGGATCTGTTGTCTTTAGCATTGGGGAAGCCACGATAATTGCGCATAGAATTGCCCTGATACCTACCCACCCCACTTCCTCTCCAGAACAATTGGCAGAAGTTCTGTCACAAAAATAATGACCTGATGGAAAAAAAAAAAATTCTGCTGGAAAATGCCACCTCAACAAAGATAAAAGCAACTCAACAGAAAGAAAGGCAGTTTTTCTTCCATGGCTTTTTTTTTGTGCATTGCTACTTTCCATCACCATTTCTTTTGGGATGGCGTCACTTGGCTGTGCACAGTGTTGCAGTCACTGTTCAGAAGCAAGGAGGGAGCTCTCTGGAGCCAGGAGAGATGGCACACACAGTTGAGTGAGCATTAAAGCTAAGTACTTTTGTGGTCCCGATTTCTCCATGGTGTAATTATCTTATGGAAACTGCCTTAATGACTGTTGGTCTGCCTGCTGTCCTCACAGCATGAGTCGTAGGGTGAGGATTTGTGCCTACAGTTTGCAGTGTCTAGGTCTGCTACCTGACCTGAATGCTTAGATAGCAAAGCTGCTTCCTCTGCCAAAGGGAAGTGTACCCCTCAGAAACAGAGCCCCATGTGCCAGCCAGTTCATTTTCTTCTGCTTCAAGCCTCAAACTGACTCATTTAAAGCTACTATTAGCCCAGACACTAACATCAACCTTCTCAAACCTAATTAGAAATCAGGATTTGTGGCTTTTTCGTTTTTCTTTCTATCACATGGATTGGGTTCTCCAATGATGATTTTTTCACTTCCCCGTTTAATCACCCAAGAAAGCACTTTACAGCCTATAACTCTTCTGCCATGAAAATTATCCACTTCATTAAAGAGACAATAAAAAGCAATTGTAAAACACAGCAAACTGCATCATCTTTAATTTCTGAACTGAATTTCTGATACGCTCATGTAAGTGTCTTTAGCGGGTGGGTTTTTGTCACTTCACCTGACCCAGAAATATAGAAATAATAACATTAATTAATTTTCTATTTCAAGAACTTCCAAAGATCCCACATTCTGTTTAACTTCACCGCCAAAGCTGTCTTCATTTTTGTAATATTTTTCCCATTCCTTGAAGCTGCATCCGTCTCCTTATTCCCATCTGGAAGCAGTCTACATATATTGGAGGTCACTCTTTACCCCCTTTTACATGGTCTTTGTTGTGTTTTTGTGAACACAAAAGCCATTTGGGGAATAGTTAGAGTCATCTAACTATTTGAAGAGGAGCTCCCCCCACTAACTGGGCTATCAAACAGCAGCAGCTAGCACTCCCAAGATGCCTTCACATGGTCTCTTCTACACTAAGTGCTTGATTGCTGCCACAGAACAAATAGAGAAAACACACATGGAATATCACAAACCACATCCACGTTTGCAGAAAGACCGGAGGTCTTAATGTCAAATTGCTGATATCATTGTGCAACCTTTCTCAATTATTTTCCAAGAGTCTTGGAAATCTGGAGAGGTCTCAATCAACTGGAAGCTGGCCAAAGTTCCAATTTTCAAGAAGGAAAAGAAATAAGATAGTGGTGATTACAGGCCTGTCAGTCTCATTTCAGTGCCTGGCAAAATTATGGAGATGATTTTTCTGGGAGCTACTGAAAAAATGCATGAAAGATAATGCAGTTATTGGTCACAGCCAACATGAGTTTACAAGAGAAAAGTCCTCTTTAAAGAAGAGCAAAGAAAGCTAGTAAACAGACTAGAAAACCAGCCTTCTGAAGAGTGGCTGATGGAAATGGCACTTTTTGGTCTGGAGAAGAGGCTGAGAGGAGAACTCACTCGCTACAGCTATCTGAAAGAAGGCTTCAGCAAGGAGGATGTTAGTCTATTTTCTCAGGCAACAAGTGATAGGACATGATGAAATAGTCTCAAGTCTTGCCGGGGAAGGTTTAGGTTGGACATTAGAAAGAATTCATTCACAGAGAAGATGATCAAGTGTTGGAATGGGCTGCCCAGGAAGGTGATGGAGTCTCCATTCCTGGTCCTATTCAAGAGATGTGTGGAAGTGGCTCTGAGGGACTTAGTTTATTGACTGGACTCAGTAAATCAGATTGATGGTTGGACTTGGTGATCTGGAAGGTCTTTTCCAACCTAAGTGATTCCATGACTCTATGATGCCTGAATAAATCTTTCTAC